TTATTTAATACAAAAAAAAAACCTTCGTTCCGTTTTTCAAAATAAAACCCTCTGTCAGTATCATGCGTTCTTCCTGAATTTGTGATGAAAATAAAAGCATTGCATAATGGATAAAACTTCATACATGAACATTACAATATTTGTAAAGAATGCACAAAGAATAAAGAATGCATTTTAAAATGAATGCACAGGCTATTGTATGTTCCAACCAGTGTATTTGGTTGATGGTGCAGGGAAAATCCGATTAAATCCCAAAATCCATGTGGTGAATCCAACAACAAAACAGTACGGAAAGACCCACTATGGGCTGTATCAAGCTGTGTGAAATTAGGGAGACTGGAAACTCGCACTAGTAGAAACCAAATGGTGCAGAAGGTCAAGGTCAAAGGTCAAAGTGTTTATTTGTCATATGCACAGTTAGGAAACATGTTTCCCTGTACAATTAAATTCTTACTTTGCCGTCCACATGAATGCCACACAATACAAGTGAAATATAAAGTAGATGAAGAAGAACAGAACCTGAATGAAAAGTAAATGTTTTATGGATATCTTGGAACCTGAATGAAAAGTAAATGTTTTATATCTTACATCCCCAATATTCCCTGAATATGCTCTAACAATATGTCAAAAATTTGGTATTATTTAGATTTTTGCACTGAATAAAGCATAATGTTCTTTGAACTGATCAAATGTAAAATATGCAAAATAACAAGTACCTTCAGGTGCAGTGCAGTAAAAAGTACAACATTACATTCAAAAATGTAGTGGAGTAGAGGTATGAAGTAGCAGGACAATTAAACACTCAAGGAACGTGCATCAAAATTGTACTTACATATCGTACTTAAATAAATATACTTAGTACCTTCAACCACTGATTAATTCAAGCTTAGTTTTTTAAGTATTTTTAAATTGTTTTACTCTTTCACTGGTCTCTCTCTGGTGCTTGTTAGGGTGATTCATGCTTCCTCCTTTTTCTCCTCTCTGTGGCTCAGCTAATCTCTCCCTCCCATCCCCTCTTTAACCTCCACCTCTCTCCTTCCCCCAGCCCCATCATCGCTTGCTTTCTCTCCTTTCACCAGCCTTTTGTGGTTCCTCCATCTCTTCCTGTATTGATTTTTGTTCCAGTACAGTGCTAAGAAGCAGAGCGAGCCTGGGTGTCAGCTAACACTGATCTTGGTTCAGCTCATCCTCTGGACGTCTGTTACTCATTCGTTCATTTAAATGTATCACTAAGAATTAGCATGATGAATAGCAGGAGCGCCAGATGTCCAGCTGTGTGAGCTTCACTGTAAGTAGCGTTTAGTTGTGCGGTGCTGCCACATAATTAGCTACAAAATATCTCAACAGTTATTGGAGGAAATGCTATGAAGTTTGGGCCAGATATTCATGTTCCCCAGAATATGGATCCTTCTGACTTTGTAGATCGTCTGACCTCCGGTGCCACCATGTACTACCTATCAGGGAGCGACAGGAAGCCAGTGGGAACAATAAGGCCAAGTACAGACATTTCTATCACATTTATGTTAGCATGTTCAAGCTACTGTATATATAACAATAAGTTATTAACCTGGATCCAAATAAATGGCAACAATATATGAATGGATTAGCCAATGAAAACATAATGATTCAGTAAAAATCAACACTAGGAGTTATTGCCAAGCATCCTAGCTGCTGTGGCAGCACTAGGGACACTGTTTGCTACTGGTCTGATGCTGCAGACTGAAACTATGATAAAAACAACTGACCCTCCTGCAGCACAATCCAAAGTCAGACTGGTCATGTTGTTTTCCAACAGCCATAGCTCTTTTTAACGCCTTCCGAGGCCCTTTTCTGGAGACTGATTTCTTTCGAGACCTGCAGATGTCCTGTTGGAAAGATTACAGAAGACAGAGTTAGTGGATTCATAGAGAAGAAACATTTGCAGTGAGTTAAACATGCTCTCGCCTTCTTGATGAGAATTAACAAGATGACTGATAGTTAGCTTAGCACAAAGAAACAGGGGGAAACAGCTAGCCTGGCTCTGACTAAAGACAGAGTTTGTTTCTGCCACTTCATTCATTAACACATTATATCTTGTTTGTTTAATTTTTGCTAAAGCAAATGAAAGAAATGTGCTATAAAATACACCGTCCTTTGCTTCACAGCGGAGAGTCGCTGCTTTAAACCAGAAACAAATGTGGCTATTTCCAGTCTTTATGCTAAGCTAAGCTAACAGACGGCAGCTTCATATCTATAGGCATGAGAGCACATGACATCAATGTTTTCTTCTAGCTTCCTGCCAGAACGCAAATAGGTTGGGTCTTTACTTAATCTATGTTGAAAAATGTCTAAAGCTAACAGCCTTTGTATTTCTCCTTCACGCCTTGACCTTTGACCTTTTGAGTTTCCTCCTCCTCAATCTTACTTTTTCATCCTTCTAAGCTCTTCTTCACCTGCTTTCTCCCTTCTTCCTTTTCACACCTCTTTGTAACCCTCTTTATCGACCTGGTTTTCATCTCCTCCTCCTCTTCCTCTCTCGTTCCACATATCTGCCCTGCCCTCTTTTTCTCCCCTTTCCTCTTCTCTAACACCATTTGCTGAAATGTAATAATGATGTTTGTGAAGGTTTTTTTTTTCATCCTCTCACAGGCTTCACACTGCCTGATGATACGCCGAGCCCGCAGATGCTCCCAACCAATAGTCAGGCCTCCAGCTTGCCACCATGGAGACCTACAACATGCCAGGTAACCATAGCAACCGGTGAGGAGGGGACAGGACCCATGGCGATTGACACTTATCCTCCTACTCATTTAGTGAGTGTGCCGTGTGACCTTCATCCCTGGTTTCTCTCTAAACTGCCTTTTAAATCCAGTTTTCTTATTTCTGATCTCAACCTGAGTGATTCTGTGTCTAGATCATCTCAGCTGATCATTAGTTTAGTATTAAACAGTTGTTGTACTATCAATGATTGGATCATTTATCCAGGTGTGGCAGGTTTAAAACAAACCATAGCTGTCCTGTAAAGTCTCTGCGCCAGTTAACAGACTCCTGCACTGTAACATGATCCCTGCACTCAGGCATGTGCAGTGGCTGCTTCTCAGTAAAGAAGCAGAGGCAGGACCACAGGGGGTGGCTGGGGGGGGCACAGCCCTGACACTCCCCCCCATCAGAGTCAGAAGGTGATGCAATAGATATGAAGTGACTACACAACTAGAAATGTTAACTAAGAGACAACCGCAGAGACAAAAGTACCTCACACAAAATGACCACAAGTAAGACAAAGGAACTACAGACACATAAACCACAAAACGATACAAAATTACTATAATGTAACAAACTACAGTGACTAAAAAGAGACACACAATGACCACAAAGTAACACAAAACAGCAACAAAGAGATGCAAAACAATTAGAGACAAAATGACATGACACCACAATAAGAGACCACGGCGTGTAGGAGTTAAAGGTCACACTTGTCTATGGCTGTAGGATCTTTGATATTCTTTCATACAGTGTAACTATTGATAATATAAAATTATTACTGCCAAGAATCAAGGCTTTAATTTGAGTCATGACACATTTCAACTTTTACAAATTTGCTCCACCCCCCGAATCTGTGTGCCCCCAGTCTGCCCCCCCCCCAAAACATTTGTAATCTCGCCCCTGTAAAGAAAACTGGTGTGCAGAAGTGAATCAGATCAAATTCAACTTTATTGATCATTGCAGCAGCAAACAGTAACAAGATACAGCAGAAAAAAATCTGAAAATATAAACTGAAATAAAGAGACTGTAAAAGATGAGTCTAAAGAGGTTTTCATTTTTCATGCTTCTTTGTGTTTTTGTGCGCAAATAAAGAGTTAAAGTGAAACATGCAGGCAGATGTCAGCTCTCTGCGGAGCCTAGCACCACTGACTGGAGATACATTTCACATTAAACCTTTTCCTTGTAGCTGCTCTGTTTGGTTTGGACGGCACTGAATCCTCTTCCTGTCGATCTTCACCGTTTCTGCATTTTCCAGTCAGGTCCTTCTGTCGTAATTAATGACACATCTACGGCAGATGTACTCATCTGCCACCCTACGTAACAAGAGATTATTAAAAAAGCAAAATGTTCAACATTACTAAGAAAAAAACATTAAAAAGATTTATCAAATCTTTATTTGCAATAATGTGCAAATTGTATTCTGGTTTCACAAAGCTGCTTGAATTTACCATATTAGTATGAGCTAGCTAGTGAGCGAACTGACAGCGCGTTAATGTAGCTAGGAGGGAAGCTAACACCAAATTTGTCGCTCACTTTAACTAAATGTTAACTTGTTAGCGAGGAGATTTGCAGTTTGGCGAATTCATTGTAGGCTATTATTAATATAATATGCACTGTATATATAACAGATGAAAATCAAGCAATAAACAATAAATACAGAAAGCTAATTTTAAAAAAGCGAATATATGCCTTTTTGGCGCAGTGTGATTTTAACCGACACACATGACGTACAGTACTTGGCAGCAGAAATGCCTCTAACCTGTGTGGCAACATGAGACTATAGTGTTTGACGTTTATTTGTGTATTTGACTTGCACCCAAAACAAAACTGGCTTGTCATTTTTTCAATGATTTATTAGTTTTATTTTTGCTGTGCTGTTTCAAGATGTTTAGTAGTCCTTGTAAAATTAAAAGCTGTAAATGTTTTTAAAATACCAAAAATCTAGTAATTATTTATTGCACAGCTTTTTAGCACTTTATCCAGTCAGCTCTGACCTCAGTATCAGTGTTTGTTGTTGACTGAGTGAGCATGTGCAGCAGAGGTGCCGCAGCATTAAACAAAAAATACCAACTTCTAAAACGGAAATTAACACCCCCTGAAAATCTCTTGTTGTACAATATATTTAATCCATAGGACAATTTTTTTGTGTGCACAAATGATTAAATAATGTGCACTAGCTCTTTTACTCCATGGCTCCCAGGCTCTATCATTAAAATATATATATTTTAGACAATTTACCTGTATAAAACCTCTGACCCCAGCCCAGTGAACAGGAAGTGACTGCTGGATCAGTCGGTAGAGTTGCTGAGGTTTTTCCATTTCCATTCAACACTTTAACAAATCAAAGCTTCTGGTTTTGTGAAGAGTGTATAAAATTTTTTTAGCTTTCTTAAGCTTTTCTGTTCTGGTCTCAAAACTACGTATAGTGCAACTTTAAATTAAGACGTTTTAGGCTCTTTGGAGCCTCGAGTAGTTATGTAAACACAAATACATTATCAATATACAACACAAATATTATAAATATCATCGATGTCCTCCAGAAACCCTGTATCCTTAAAATCCTCACAGATGGCAAACTGGAACAGTGATCATTTATATTCTGAAACCTTTTTTTGATTTGATTAAAAATCATTTAACTCAATCAGTTGAGGAGAGTTGACACATTTGGCAAAAATGCTAAAAACACACCAGTTCCTGCTTCTTAAATGTGGCTGTTTTCTGATCCTCTATAACAAACAGAATATCTCTGAGGTTTGGAGTAGATGTCTCACAAAACGAGACATCTGAATATTTCTCAACATTTTCTTTCATTTTAAAAAACAATGAATAAATAAATCAAAATCAGCACATTAATAACGAGTGAGAACAACGGACATAAAAAACAAACTAGTTTTATCCTAGCTTCTGCTAGCGCCATGATTAGGTCGAAAAAATGTTGTCATATACTTTGGTTTATGACTATATTTACAAAAAACAAAACTTTTCTATCAGTTAATTAGCATGTGTTAGCATGCTAACATGCTAAACTAAGTAGGCGAACATGAGAAGCACTATACTATCATATTAGCATGCTGATGTTAGCATATAGCTCAAAGTACAGCTTTGCAGATTTGCTGCACGGCTGCAGACGCATGTTCCACAGCAATTTGCCTTATTTTAGGAATTTTCTTTGTTCAAATGTGAATCAAACACTTTAGCTCAACTTGATCTTGAACAATGTGGCTTGGAAATTTAGCAAAATACTAAATTTGCTAAGATAATTTCTTTGGAATGATTTACTCCCGAACTAAATATTATGACTACATGATTTTTACATTAAAACTTCATATTTTTGTGCAAGATGAGTTTGTAAAGAGGATTTTTAAGTTCAGCTTTTCTGAAGGACAAAAGAGACAGGCAATAAATATGTCACACAGATCAATAGCTAAGACTTCAGTAATTATATGAGAGGCTAACGCAGGCAGGA